GGTGGAAGGCTGCTTCCTGTCGCGACGCTGCCGCTCCTAGGCGCGGTTATCGTGCGGTTCCTCGCGCTGCAAACCGAATTTCTGCCCTTATCTCTCGGGCGCCGGCGGCTCTGAAGGGAGCCGCGATGACCTTGGGACCTTGTGCGATCAGATGGAGCTTGCAGGCTAGGAACGTATTCTTGTCGAAGCTCGTTTAACCGTCTCCGTAACAAAAGCCTAATGTAATGGAAACTCGTATGTTCCATAATTGGCCTAGCTAAACTCTCGTGTTGACGTATGCTTATAAAGTTAAAAGAGATGGGGCATTTCTAAATAACTGATACCTAAAAATATCGGTATATTAAAAGGGAGTTCCATAATAGCTTTTACAATGGCACGATGAGGTGTTTTTTGGCCTTAGTCATTGGGAAATCATGTACAGTACCTCTGAATATTTGTTGTGTTGTTTTTGTGGTTTTTTTTTTTTACAAAAAGGATTTTAAAACAAGGGGAAAAAAAGCTCCTTTTCTTGCTTTTAAAACAAGCCTTGATTTTTAAACTTGCCGTACAACAGCCTTGTATGTTTTTAGGATTCTGCAAATAGGAAAAAATCCTGCAGAGGGTTGTACTGGTGGATGAAGTGGCTTTAGTGAGCTTTTAACAGATGTCAAAATGTTAATGATAATGTTAAGTTTACTAAATACTCAAGTGCTAAGCTTTAAAATACTTTTCATCAACTGTGCATTTCAGCTTACTTTACATAAAGGGAAGCTGCAGCAAAATAGTTGTCTGAGGTCATGCAGCACGCTGCAGACTAATGACAGAGCTCGTAAATATATTAAGATTCTGACCCCCTTTCAAGTGTCCTTTCTGCTGTTTGTTTTCTTCAGCGGTACGCTTTTGAAAATCTTTCTAGATATTAAGTGCCTGATACCTCCAAAATTTGTTTCATAATACCAGATGCATACAATGCTGAAAAGTGGAATGTTAGATCTGTCTCTTGCATAAACATACACATTGAAAAATGAATTATGCTTAAATGGTAGCTTGCTTTCCTGCATCTGTCTTAAGGCTGTTCTCATGTTAAAGCTGGAATTGTGCATCTGGAGAATGGGTTGATCGCTTAGCGTGAGCAGTGCTAGGTCTGACGGGGTACGAGAGTGCTGGTACAGGACAAATGGTTCCTGATAGTTCAAAATGGGTGAAGTGGTTTTGAAATAGTACTTCTTTATTCCTGTTAAATTAATCTGTTGTTACGTTTCTATAGAAGGGGCTTTTCAGGGCAAGGCGGAAGCAATTCAAGAGAAGCCAAAATCTTAGTTAAAACTAAATATGAATATAAACTCACTCACTACTTTTCATAGATGCAGATAGGCCCCTCCTACCTATCTGCTATGAGTTAGGTTATACCATTCTGGTAATTTTTATACTCCTACAACATAGCTCTTGAATGATTCAGAATATTTTGGGTGGAAACTAAATATGAATTGGAGAAGATACCTACAGTAGCTGAACTAGACACTGGAGTTAATTAAGATGATGGTGGTGTCCCCCAGGGGTCAGTACTGGGCCCAGTCTTGTTTAACTTCTTCATCAATGACCTGGATGAAGAGTTAGAATGTACCCTCAGCAAGTTTGCTGATGACACCAGACTGGGAGGTGTGGTAGACACACCGGAAGGCTGTGCTGCCATTCAGCGTGACCTGGATAGGCTGGA